ATGCTCATGAAGAGATTGATCATTATTATTAAACATAAAATTATTTGTATTTTGCGGATGAAATGACGATTGAACATTCAAATTGTGACCAATTTCATATAAGAAAAATGGTTTTGTGTAAGTAGTCAACCATAAACGGAACATCCATTGGTAGTGTGTAAATGGTAGGCTGTGATATCGGTTCAGATTTTCTATTAGAGCGACTAGAATTTGGATTTTGTCGAGGTCGAGAACGCTGACGTTGGTTGATCCGTTGTTTAAGGCGGTGTTTCTGAGAGTGATTTGGTGATCTTTGATACGCATTATGTGAATGCGAATATTGAGTTTGTTGATGCGTATAACTTGGCTGGCATAAGTCGTGCGAAGGAGGACACCAAGTCGGCTGAAATGCCTGATTTTGAGGGTTAATGCGAGGATATTCTTCAATAAGATGGACTGAACCAATGTAATTTTGTCCTTGAGTCTGATCAACCATTTTATTGTTTGGTTGTTAGAAACCCTTTTAGCGCAATTAGGATGCCAGAAAGAAACCTTGGCAAATGCAGAGGCAAAAAATCCTCTTTGCACCCTTTATATACAGACACTCTATTCCAAGCTAGAGTTAACACCTCACTATGTTTTATATCCGGATATATCCGTATATAAAATAAATCCGGATTTAAATTACTATGTTTTACTATAACGATAATTTTATGACAAAATTTCAATCCGGATATAAATATATCCGGATTGAAATATTAACTCTATTCCAAGCAATAAATCACAAAATATTTATATGTGTAAAGATTTTCGCAGATCCTTAGAAGGTATTTGTCCACCATTTAGGCGAGATTGCAAAAATGATACGAATTGCAGGGTTCTTTTATTTGATACATGAATGAAATCTTTTCAATTATCATCTATTAGCGGTGTTGGACGATGACTCATATGACTTATATGACTTGTCATACTACAATATCATATGATATATATTATAGTGTTATACGTATAATAATAATATGTCATGATTTTATATTATATATAACATATCATATGACATTATGATATTGTCATTGTCCAATACTGTCTATTAGAGATGATTTTTGTTTACAATTGTATTACAAGTGACTCTCAATATAAGAAAGTCAAGATCCACTCGATCTACAGGTGGGTGACAAAAATATTTTCACACCTAAGGACTTGGCTTATAACTCAAAAACTTACTAATTAACTTATGT